CTACACACACACACACACACACACACACATTTAGCAAATTAGGGCTCAGGAGATGGGGCAGCAGTAGCACAACTGATCCCACATGGGAGAGTCCTCAGTTCAAGTGCTGAGGCCTCCCTGAGCATGTGACCATGACCTGGGCTGGCTGAGATTGGAGGTGGGTTGTGGGGTGAAGACCCTGTTGAGTCTCTCTCCTATAGGAGAAATAAATCTAATTTAATTAATTTAAAAGTTCATGGAAATGTATATTACCAAAAAACTATCATGGATTTCAACATTTTAAAATAATTAATTAAATATACCAAATTGTTAGTTAAGGGGATTACTCAGTTATATACTCAGTTTGATGGAAAAAAATAGTAATCAACAAATTAACTCAATTGCCTCTTTCTGAAGAAAAGTCTAGTCCATGCTACTAAAGGTGTGGCCCCTGACCCTTATCAGCATCACCAGGACCTTGTTAAAAATGCAGAATCTTTTTTTTTTAATTAAGTTATTCACAGTCATTTATTATACATCAACATCGTATACAAAATGAGATTTTCCATCCTGAATTTATTGTATATTGGCTCAATCAAGGATATTACCATACATGTTATCAACAAATAATTTTCTGTTTCTTGTTTCTTATATATTTTGCTTTTTTCCCCCCTTGGTTCCTTACCTCTCACCTTCTGCCAATTCCCTTCCTTATCCCACACTGGTTTCTATGGTTATTTCCCATGCTTTTTTTTTTTTTTTCACATTTTATTGATTCACTAAAGATATTAAGTTAAAAGTTTTCAATAGCAAGCACAGCTGATATATACATATATGTGAACACATGTCTGACTTTAGGCATACACTTCAATGAGTAAAGTCAACATGCTATAAAGTAGCACCTTGCTGGGGCTATACAGCTTATTGCAGTTACTAAATAGGTATTAATAGGTATTTTTAATGCATTTTTAATTTCAAGAAAAACAGTTTTAGTTTTAATAGATCAAAAATGTTAAGTGAAGTTTGCTTAAAACTTAAAGCCAGGAAAAAAGGTTAGGATTCAGTTCAAATAGTAGGTAGAGGAACCTATCAATAGTTCAAGAGAAGACAAGAGTCCTTAAATATGGAAATCAAAACATCAAAGAGAATCAGCAATGTTTTAGTCTGAAGTAAAAAAATTCTATTTCACTAGTTCAGATTCATGTAACTAATATTCTCTTCTATTGATTTTTTTTTTTTTTGGAGAGATTTTCACTGTAGGGCGCGTGTGCTCGCCAGACAGACAGAGAGAGACATAGAGACAGAAAGCAAGAAATCACCCCCCAGGGGGGATGGTCACGCCGCAATCCCTTCTCCTCCATTCTCCTCTCGG